ACGGCTAATGAAAAGAAAATAGGATTCTACTGAGTCTCCTGTCTACCTACTCCAGGACTTCTTTGAGGATCAAATGAGATGAGGCATGGGAAAATACTTCACAGACATTTGGTTAAAGTGTAAAATGTTTCCACCTCACTATAAAGCAAGTTGTGTTCCTGGGATGAAGAAATTGCAAGGAGGCTGGTCGCTAGGGAAAGGAAGCAGGTGTTGCTATGTGACATCATTACCTGGCGCCTGCAGCCACTGTTTCCAGGCTGGGCTGGGCTGTGGGCCACATTTTGTGCCATGGGGTCTGGTAGCGTTGGCTGTGATTTGGTGGGCTATTGCTCCGGGGTTGGGGAAACCTGTGTCCCACCTGGGGGAAGCCAAGTGTTGCTCTGTGGGTGCCAGGTTTGCAGTGCCATTTCTCTGTAAATGGCCAGTGCATGTCACGACAGCTCCTGCGTTCAGCATCTGCCCCCTGGTGTTCAGTGCGCATCATAGTGACTGGTCGAATGGGTGGACACTTAGCATATTAGCATTTTATATATATAGATAATTCTTGTGGTGAAAGGGTTTCTAATTGTCTTTTGAGAGTATCATTATTTTTAGCTTTAAAAACTATATTTGTTTTCAAATGCACAGTAAGGATCTTGGAAAATGCCATCTCTGCATCTTTGCTTTCCAGATAGCCAACTTCCAAAACTTTATATGAAATAATAACTCAGTAGCCTCCAAGAATTTGGAACAGAGAGGAGATAAAAATGCTGTACAGAGTGGTACACGGAGCATGAAGTAGAATACTATAATAGAATCCGAGTGAAGTAAGACTTGGATAAAACATCAAGGAAAATCTGAAAGATTGTATTGTCATAGACTCATAAGGAGTTACAGTGCAAGAGGTGGAAATGAAAGTCTACAATATACTGCATGCCAAAAGAGCTGCTTTATTTCTTGTCTTCTTTTCTGTCATGGCCTTTGGGAGAAAAAGTTGAAAAAGTTAATAATGTTGCAAGGAAATTCAGACCATGAGTTTCCATCTTGCTTCACAGCAAGGAATGCATTTAGACGTATCTGAGAACCATTCAGCGTTTCAACCCCAGGCAGAGCTTCTGGACAGCAAACAGAGAGGAGAGCCGCAAGTGCAGCAGGGGGAGCTATTTTTTCCACTTGTTCGGACGTGACAGTGTTTATTTTTAAATGCCAAGATACACTACATAACAGGATTTCTTCCACCTTCGGCAAGTGCATATTTCACAGTCCCAGGTATCAGCCACGGAGTCCAGGTCTCTCTAATGGACAGGAAACTCTTTGAAGAAGGTCAAAGACTTTTTAAAGGCTAATTCTATTCCAAAAATAAAAAGAGAGATAGAAAGATAAAGGAAGGAAAAACAACAATTAACGTGACTAAGTTATGGTCACTGTCAATTTCCAATTTCTACATAATTTTACAAGGCCTGGCACACAGGAAGTTTTTAATATCTATTAAATCAATTTTATAACAAATCAATACTGAATAATATTTGCATGATACATAGATTATTTTATAGTAAAAACACCAGTTATATCAATGACTCATCAATATTCCTTGATTCTGAGGCTTTCAAAATTCCTAAGATAGGGCAGAAATAATGTTCATATCTCCATTTATTAGATGTGAAAGTTGGAGAATATACATATTTAAGCTAATTCATAGTGTTTTACCTCATATCATAGCCCAGTGGTCGGCAAACTGCGGCTCACGAGCCACATGCGGCTCTTTGGCCCCTTGAGTGTGGCTCTTCCACAAAATATCACTTGCAGGCGCGCACGTACAGTGCGATTGAAACTTCGTGGCCCATGCTCAGAAGTCGGTATTTTGTGGAAGAACCACACACAAGGGGCCAAAGAGCCACATGTGGCTCGCGAGCAGCAGTTTGCCGAGCCGCAGTTTGAGACCACTGTCATAGCCAAATAATGCCATTGTTAAAAACTATAAAGTAAATGAAATGTGTTTTTCTTCATAATGTTGAAACCATATAATAAATCCTGCTCTTTTTTTAACCTGGAAATCTCATTTTCATGAATTCTAAATCTCTACACTTCACTTTTCTCACTGTACTCCCTTTCCTTTAAAATACATGCATTGTTTATCTCACCTATTCTAAGGCTCCAAAAAGGTCATGGGCTAAACTAATCCCTCACTCACTACTGAAAAGGCAGCTCCTTGATGCACTTGGTATATTTTACCCACTTTTCGATAAATCTTTAATTTTTAACCCAGCTATAAGCCAACATTCACTGAATTGTTTATTCTAAATTCTCACTTAAGGGTTGGCATGAAAGTTTGGTAATACTTGTTTGGGTACAACCATGAAGGTCAGCAGTGGGGAGCCTGAAAGGTTTGTTTTAGCAATCGTGCAGGAAGATTTCCTAGCCAGTTATGTTGTTTCACCCTATTACTCACCAAGGAGATGCTAGAAAAGTCCTAGGCTATCAACTCTCAAGCTGCCTTCCCATCGAATGTCTGAGGACCCAGAACAGGGCATTGAGAGTCCACCCCAAAAGTAAACATCATCAAAGCCACAAAATCATGTTGGAGTAACCATGAGGAGTCAGTATTCTTTGGCACTCCTTGCACGGAGAGGTAGTGGCTGTCTTCTCCCCTTGCATCTAGGCTGCCTGGGACTGCTTTGACCTGTACAGAATGACCAAAATGGCACTACGAAGCTCTTGGTCCAGCCTTCAGGAGGACTGACAGCTTCTGCTTTGGTCTTACGGGATTTTGTTGTTGTTAATCCTCATCCAAGGATATTTTTTTTCCATTGCTTTTTAGAGAGAGTAGAAGGGAGGGAGGAGGGGGACAAAGAGAGAGAGAGTGAGAAAGAGAAAGAAGGAGAGAGAGACATCAATGTCAGAGATATGCACTGATTGGCTTCCTCCCCCACATACTACAGGGCCAGAAGGATCAAACCAGCACCTTCAGTGCACTAGCTGATGTTCTAACCACTTAGCAACACAAGCCAGGGCTGTTTTTAAGAGCTTTAAGCTACATGTAAAATGTCTGACTACCCTGATGGAGAGGTCCTGACACTATATATAGAGAGAGAAGGGTTCAATTAATCCAAGCCTTTCTTTGGTCCCCACTAAGATTCTAAACATTTGAGTAAAACTGACATAGACCTTCCAGACCAGACAGTGAGCTGAATAGCAGCGAGTTTGCTCTGTCATGCCAGGTGGATTAGAAGTATCGCCCTGTCAAGCCCTTCCCACATGCCTGGCCCACAAAAACTATGAGATAATATACCGTGGTTGCCATTGAAAGCCTCTGTGTTTTGGGGTAATTTATTATGCAGCAATTAATAACCAGAACAATGACAGAGCACTTTGTGTCATTTTCAGCAGTCTGGATGAACTGTTCCTTGTACCCACCTGGGAGAACCCTAAATTGCTTTTTCAAAGCAATTCACACAAATCTGTACAAAGCCGGAGGCCTGTCCTGACAAGAGAGTTTGAAGACCTCTAAATGACAAATTTCTAGTCATGCCCTTTGAGCAAACTATTACATTAATAGATAATTCTATTGTATGTTTGATTCTCCATTTGTCTAATGAACAGGGAGAATGAGGGATAAAGTAACATAATGTGCATAAACTTTCTTTATAAAATATAAAACACATGCCAAAAATAAGGTATCACTACGGTCAAGTTTTTATGAATATCTTTCTTTTCGAAACATTTCAGATTAGAAGACATTTAGTCTGAAACCAAGGGAACTAAATGGTGCTGTTAGAAGAGAAATACTAAGTGATATTTAAGATATAATTCACATACTATGATATTCACCTTTTTAAGGTGTACCATGCGGTGGTTTTTAGTATATTTACAAAGTTGTACAATGATCATCACCAACTCCAGAACATTTCTATTACCCATAAAGAAATCTATACCCAGAAGGCATCTTTTAGGAATAGAAAAAGTTGATGGTGCTAATTAGAAAAATAATAACTTGGGACAAACATAGACTCAAACACAACAGGAAATAAAGAGAATTGCAAGTAGGGAGAGGGACAAAATGAGTGTGCAGAAAAGAGTTAACACAACAGGCCTGAGACGACTATCACCCAAACGCCTGCTTAGAGGGCTGGCCCTTTGGCGTATGCCTGGGAACTTGACTGGTGAACAGTCACCTATACTGATATGATGAGTGCCTCACTTTGAGTAAATAGTACAAAAGTGTGATTAATATTGATTTTTACTTTCCTTTTGGGAGTCTGGTATCATAGGGCAAAAGTGCCTATATGACCCCCCAAAAAATGTAGGCACTGAATCTCTATTGAGCTTCTCAGTTAGAAGACACTTCACTTATGTTGTCACAACTTGTTGTTGGAGGAATTAAGCACATTTTGTGCAACTCCACTGGGAGAGGATGCTTGGACGCTTGTGTCTGGGTCCTGATGCATTTTTCCCTTGTGCCTTTTCCCTTTGCTGATGTTGCTTTATCCTTTCACTGTCCTAAATTCTGGCCATGACTGCATGCTGTGTCCTATGAGTCCTCCTCTTGAATCATGAAATCCGGTTATGGGGACTGTCCAAGAAAACTTGTTAAAGGTGATCAGTCTTTAATTACTCTCCACAGCATTTTACACGTCTGCTCTAATATCTTGTCATTATATTCTTAATAATCACATCAACATTCAAACGAACTAACAGCTAAAACTCTGCCCCAACTTTCAGGCTCTGTCTCTAACTTTGTGGTTAGGGAGAGAGAAAGTAAAGTGAGAGGCACGATTGGAACAGGAGTTTTCTCCAGTAGCCTTGGAAAAGCAAAGAAACAATTATCTGCTACAGAGAAGCTAATCACGTATAAATGATTGGTTCATGGAAATAGATTGGAGCATTCTTCTAGGTTTGCCTAATCAATGACATAAAATTAACACTGGAAGAACAAATGTTGTAACTGCATATTAAACCAGAAGTTGTTTTTAACAATATCTGTGATCACAAAGAGTTTTTCTTTATATCCACATGAAGGTAAGGAAGGAAGGTATTAGGTTTTATGAAAATCTTTTCTAAAATATCCCTATAGGAATTAAAAATAAGTAGATTGAACATCACCAACTTCTTCATGAAAGAATGTATTTATGTCAACACATGTATTATTTTAAAAATTAAAGAGTCATCAGGAGTAAGTTTAATGAAAAGATACCCTAGAAATTGCCTATGCTTGAAATTATACAGATCATTGATTTCTCATGGAAGGTTAAAGGCTATGGAACTGAAGAAAAATCCTGAATAAGAGATGCTTTTCCCTGCCCCTCTTATGTGAAAAGAAAAAAACACAAAATGAAGGATAGAAAACTCTTACCAAGAAAACTGTAAATATAAGAAGTAACTGCAACAGCTTATAGGTCAGCGGTTCTCAACCTGTGGGTCGCCTAAGACTATCCTGCATATCAGATATTTACATTACGATTCATAACAGTAGCAACATTACAGTTATGAAGTAGCAAAGAAAATAATTTTATGGTTGGGTCACAACATGAGGAACTTTATTTAAAGAGCCAGAAGGTTGAGAACCACTGTTATAGGTGATGGCTAATGGAAATATTATAAATAATGAAGTAGTCATTTATAATCTGGCAACAATTTTAGGTTAGTCTAAAAAAGATAAATATAATACTTAATAGCTAGAAGAAGAAGTTATTGTGACCTTAAATACAGCTAAGTCCCATGTCTAAGTACAAAGAGGCTGTAATGTCAAATTGTGATTGTGAATTTAATAAATGCCAACTGTGTCTAAAAAGTCTTTTTGTCTAAGTCTTACTCATAATTGAATCTTTTTAGTTTAATGATATTCCTTAGTGATGGGTTATCTCATTTTTATGGTTTCTATAGAAAAGTTCATTTAGCCCTGACCAGTTTGGTTCAGTGGATAGAGCGTCGGCCTTCAGACTGAAGGGT